ATTCCTTCTCCCCCCCTTTTTTTTTCTTGTCAGTCATGGGGCCTGAACTCTGGGCCTGGCCACTGTCCCTCAGCTCTTCAGCTCAAGGCTAGCACTCTTATCACTTGAGCCACAGCGCCACTTCCAGTTTTTCTGCTTATGTGGTACTGAGGAGTGGAACCCAGAGCCTCATGCATGCAAGGGAAGCACTCTACCACTGAGCCACCTTCCCAGCCCCCTCATTCCTCCTCTCTATAAGTACATACCCCAACAGTTTTTATTTTTCTATAGTTTTTTTGGTATGTTTTTTTATTGTAAAAATGCTGTACAGTGGGGTTACAGTTACATGAGCAAGGTAAAGTACATTTTCTATTGAGCATTGTTGCCTTCTCCTTTATTTTCCTCCTACTTTCCCTTCCCCCTCCACACGAGCAGAAGAACTTTGTTTTCAACATAGTGTTTTGTACATCTCAGTGTTTAAACTGGGTCAACCTGTATCCTTATTTAAGCATTTTGTTTTTTCCCTTCCTCTCCCCAAATTAGAGAAGTATATATATAAGACACAAATTTCAGAAGTTTTTTAAAGTACATATTAATTGTACCAGAAGATTTTATCATAGTATTTCACATATGCTTATATTAAGTTTTGCTCAGAATAGCCCTGTTGCTTTCTTTCTCATCATCCCTTCCCTCCACCACTTCTTGATCAGGAGCTTCCAATGGGATTCCCTGTGCCATCTCTACATAATTGCTACTTATTTTTTATTTTTGAGTCAGTTGTTGGGTTTGAATGCTGGGCCTGAGTGCTGTCCTTGAACTCATGTTCCAGGCTTGTGTTCTACTACTTTGAGCTACAGTGTCATTTTCGGATTTCTGGTGGTTAATTGGAGATAAGAGTTTCAAGGACTAGCTGGGCACCAGTGGCTGAGATCTCAGGATCACAAATCAGCCTGGGCAGGAAAGCCCAGGAAAGTCTAGGAAAGTCCATGAGACTCTTATTTCCAGCAAACACCTAGAAAACTGGAAGTGGCTCTGTGGCTCAAGTGGTAGAGTGCTTGCCTTGAGCTGAAGAGCTGAAGGACAGCACCCAGGCCCAGAGTTCAAGACCTACTACTGACAAAAAAAAAAAAGAGTCTCAAGGACTTTGCTGCCTGGGGTGGCTTCAAACTATGATCCTCAGATCTCAGCCTCCTGTGTAGCTAGGATTACAGGTATAAGTTACTGGCCCCCAGCTGCAGAGTATTGTTAAATTGTTCATCCTCTTTTTCCTTCTCCCTTTTACCTTATTCCCCTAGACAGTAATAGAATTGTTTCATTTGTATGTGTATACATGTCTATGTCAATGGTATGTATGTAGCCTCTACAAAGGAGTGAAAATGTGATACTTGATACTTGTTGCAGCTCATTCATTTTTTTAAGAGTACCTATATACTAGGCATTGAAAAAGCTAGAACTGTTTAAGAATGTGAGTTGTGGGGTAATTGAAATTCATCATTCCCCTGCTCCACTGTGTAGGGCCATGAGCTTGGCTGTGTAACTACATTGAGCCCCAACATATTTTGAGGGGAGGAGTAGAATACCAGGGATTAGAACTCAGGACTTTGCACTCACTTGAGTTGCTTGACCATACCACTTGAGCCATGCTTCTAACTCTGCTTATTGCTGGTTAATTGGAGATAAGAGTCCTGATTCAGTCCAGCTGACTTAAGACCTCAATCTCCCGATCTCAGTTTGCTGAGTAGGTAGGATTATAGGCATGTGCTAGTGCCCTCTGGCTTTTTCCTCTTCCCTTCCATTTTCCTTCCTCCTCTTTTTCCTTTTCATTTTCTTCTCCATGCCCTGGCTGCTTCTTCAATACCTCTGCCACTATAATTGTTATCTTTGGATAAATTTCTAATTTTACAGAGTATTTCTCTAGTTGCCTATCTTATGGAAACATAAGAGATCATATAGCATATGCTTTAAAGTATTTTGCACTGTGCTTGGCACCTTTTAAAATCATACCTAAGAGAGAGTAATCTTAAAATTAAGAAAGACACATAGTCTTAAGCAGCTGAATAGATTTTGCTTGAGGTGGGTAATTTCTATTTAGTGTAATCATGGCTGGTCTAGGGAGAAGGGTTACCACTGGAACAATTGTTTCAATGAGGGCTATCCAGGTGTACTGAGTGATTAATACAGAAAATGTTATCTTTTTCAAATAAATCAATTATGACTTTGTGATTGTATAGTATAAAATAATTTCCAAATTGTTTTATATTCTTTTTGCCTATTAGGCTGTGTCAGGAGATTACCTTGGTTCACAGCAAGTAGAACTAAAATGAGAGACTAGGCTGGAAGTATAGCTCAGTGGTAGGATACTTACCACTCACAAAGCCCTGGTTCTGAGCACTGCTTAAAAAAAATTATAATTTGCTTGGGTAGATGAAATAAAGGATAATAAGAACATTCATATATAATATTTAAATTTTAGATAACATGATAGTTCATATATAATATTTAAATTTTAGATAACATGATAGTCACAGGCTGTACCCTTAAGCTATACCCCCAGCCTGATAATGTATTTAGAAGAGAGAATACTACACAAGAAAAACAAAGATTAGTCTTTACCCAGGCTCTCTTTTGACTTTTGTGTAGAAGACCATACATTAGCTAATTTAAAAGATGTTATATAAACAAAATACATTACTTTTTAGATGTTGCAAGGGAGAGACTTGTTGAACTTTATGTTTCAAAGACCCATTCCATGTCCTTGGATTCCATAGACTTATCCAACTTTGAGTTATACATTTCTTTTCTCTCTTTTTTTTTGGTCGGTCGTGGGGCTTGAACTCTGGGCCCGAGTGCTGTCCCCCAGCTCTTCAGCTCAAGGCTAGTGCTCTACCACTTGAGCTATAGCACCACTTCCTGTTTTCTGGTGGTTTATTGGAGATAAGAATTTCACAGACTTTCCTGCCGGGGCTGGCTTTGAACCGCGATCCTCAGATCTCAGCCTCCTGAGTAGGATTACAGGCACCCAGCTTCTTTTCTTTTAAACATAGAAACTTGTTTTAATTTCCTAAGTATAGTTGACCAATTATTTATGTAGCATTTATTGTACTTTAAGTAAACTGGAGATGAAGTCTATGGCAGGACATGTATGTTAATTGCAAATACTATACCATTTTACATAAGGGATTTTGGTTTGCAGATGGTGGGGTGGAGTTTTTTATGGACCAATCCAAAGATACCTAGGGATCCGTTATATGGACCAGTAGGGTTTAGTCTAGAGAAAGAAATTGCAGTACTGAGAAGACTAGAGATCTAGAAGAGCAACACCTTTTTCTTCCACGTCCATTTAGTGCACTTTTCTGACTGTAGGCTGCACTTCCACTTTGAGTAAATTGAGATCTAGTATATTTACTCATAACATGTTATTTAAAAAAATTGTTTTTGTAGGCGCTTGAAATAGACCCATCAAATACCAAAGCACTGTACCGCAGAGCTCAAGGATGGCAAGGACTAAAAGAATATGATCAAGCTTTGGTAAATTTTATGTTTTACAATAGATAATTACCTTTCTAAAATCATATGTGTAATTTTCTTAACATTTTTTTTCTTTCCAATTGAAGGCTGATCTTAAGAAAGCTCAGGAGATAGCACCAGAAGATAAAGGTAAGCTGGCAGTTTTGAGTTCATTTTGTCCTTTAAAGTTTTATCCGCATAAACCACAGTGTTCACTTAACCTTGCCAAATATTAGATGTTTAATTAATAATTAGAAACAATGCCTATTAATCAGGCCAGGCATTGATCAGATAGCAAATGAACAAGACATTCAAGACCCCTGCTCTCACAGAGCTTACATTCTAATTTCTCTCAAGAATGTACCTGAAAACATTGCTTGTTCTGCCTTAACATTTGAGACCCAGTTTCTATTACTATAATACTACTTGAGAGATCAGCAGTAAAGAGAGTATTCATTGTAAATTTAACTTTTGGGACCATTCTCTAAGGTGAATGTATATTTTAGAAAAGCTATAATGAAATACTTTTTATTTTCTCCAAATGAGGTAAATGCAGTGAATAGTGACACTAGATCTATATATTTAAAAATATTTTTGGTCTCATTAAAAGAAGGGAAGCAATTCTGGCCCTCTTAAATGGAGAAGGCTAAAGCAAACCTTTGTTACCTAAGGTTTTCTCAGTTGGCAGCCCTCTGAAATAATACGTCATGATTTTTGTGACTTTTCTTTCACAAGACTAAAAATTACTGCTAATAAAGTGGAGTTACTTCTTATGGGGAAGAATTATCAAGGGAAGGGGAATGTAGTGCCATTACCACAATTTGTTGGTCCTAAGTTTTTAGATGCTTTGGCAGATAACGGACTTTTTTCTTTCTTTTTATACAGCCATCCAGGCAGAATTGCTGAAAGTCAAACAAAAGATAAAGGCACAAAAAGATAAAGAGAAGGCTGTATATGCAAAAATGTTTGCTTAATAAGAATTAACTTTTGCTTAAATGTCAAACATTGATTATATAAAGACAGTAAAATGATATGGGGTCTAGATAGGATCCCTAATGTGTTTGTTCTGATACTGCAGTGCTTTGTGGGTTATGTTTAGAAATACTGATGTTAGTTCCCTGTTATAATAAAATATTACAAAATACAGTGAAGTGCTTTTTTTAAATTAGTGCCAACATTTTAAAAAAGAATGGTGCCCTAAAGTTACATCTTGTTGGGCAAAAGTTTATATATATTATTTACTTTTCTTTAATGTACCTGTGGTAGGTATACGTGCTTTTATACTTCAATAGGTACCTGTTCTTGGCTTGGCATTTATTTTCTGCAAAAGGCCAGATCATAAATATGTCTGCTTTGGGCTGGGAAGGTGGCTCAGTGGTAGAATGCTTGCCTTGCATGCCTGAGGCCCTGGGTTCGATTCCTCAGCACCACATAAGCAAAAAGAAAAAAAAAGCCAGAAGTGGTGCTGTGGCTCAAGTGGTAGAGCGTTAGCCTTGAGCTGAAGAGCTGAGTGACAGCGCCCAGGCCCAGAGTTCAGGCCCCACAACTGGACCAAAAAAAAAAAAAAAATCTCTGCTTTGTGGATCATTTGGTTTATTTAATTACTCAACTCTGCAGTTTGTAACTTTATTCATATATAATGAACGGTGAGCAATGCTTTTCCCTAATTTATATATGTACCTGGACACTGAAATTTAGCAAGACAAACGTACAATGTGCAGTTTACTAATGCATTTTGCTGTTACTGAAATCTTTGAAGACCTGAAGAGGTTAGTTAATAGCTACATCCTTTGTAAGTTTTATTTACGAGAATTATCTCATGATTTTTAGGGAATAATTTTAGATGCAGTATAAAGTTTAACTATTTTGTGAAAGATTCTTGTTCATCTCTGAGCATTTTAAAGTTTGATTGCAATGCATTTATAATTTATAGAAACTGGTTATCAAATGTGCTGGCAAATGAAATCAGTTTTAGTTTACATTCCATTGTAAGCAGGTCCTCCTCCACCTTCAGGCACTACCCAGTTAATATTCTGACTTGGATCTTTAATATCACATGTTTTACAGTGCACACAGTTCTGAGCATTTATCTGTAGCCGATACCCATCACCTTGTTCCAAAGGTACAAATTCATAAACTCCTGCAAAATAAAAATAAGTAATATGAAAGTTCTTAACTTTGAAAAGTTATATATTTGAAAGCAAAAACCTAAATCCTACAAGGAATAGCTCCAGAAACTTTAAAGGTTATTTTCTTATTTTTATCCATAAAGAACATTAAGATGATCTGGGTGTATGTTGTTGAATTTAGCAAAACCATGTAGTAAAAGGAAGTTAAAACAGATTAGCTAAGTTAGTTCACTAATGCATAATCAACACTTAGCTATCTTTGAAAAAGACTGAAAAAAATTGGACCCATTTCTTAACCTACAGGAGTTTGTACGTTTCTGTGATATGATTTTAAGATAGTTCCTTGTCCCCGAAGTTTAGGTTTTCTCATCTCAAGGCCTTAAGAACATAGTAATTTTCACATATAGAGTATTACTTGTTCTGGCACTGATAATAGTTGAAAGCTCAACATTAAAAGATTTAGTATTCATGTTGAATTGAAAGTTTAGCACCATTCCTTGGAATTAGTGTAGCTATAGCTTAGCATGTGTGTGTGCTGTGCACACAATACACATCACACTCAAGCTACCATGACAGAAATGACCATTTAGGGAGTCACAAGAACTGGTGGTATTATCCGTAGACTTTATCTTGGTCTGAGGAGTATGTTTAAAGAAATACCATCTGAACTAGGCTTAACTAAACTGCCAGTTATTAAATCCTAAATAGGAAGCTGAATGTAAAAGTCATAACAATTTCCAAATCATTATAATAATTGCACAAAGGAATACATTCTTAAAATGTTGGAAGCAGATACCTATATTCATATTTTAAACCATTACTGACCTGCCGGGCAGAATCGTTGCTCAGGCCCATCATATATTGACAGATTTCTATTTACAGGTACGCTGTCATCTTTTAAAGTTAAATGTGCTGGCTGATCATGTTCATGATTAGTACCACTCAAAGCCACAGATGACAAGAGGTCAAAACTGATTTGTCCATCAGGTTTTGGATATTCAATAGGAGTGCAGTCCTTGGCTGGCTTGAGCTGATCAGAGTCAGAACCTTCAACAGTTTTGAGGAGAATGCTTAATACAGTTTGCTTTTGGCTACTGAGGTATTGAACCAAAGGCCTCATGCATGCTAAACATAGGTGTATTGCCAGACCATGTATCCGTTTACTGTACCCATTTACTGTTGGATAGTGAGGATTAACGACCTTGTTAGAATACTTAAGCTATCCCCCCAGCCCTGATAGGGTCTCAGGGTATATAGCTTTGCTTTTTTGTTTTCCAGTTTTTCAGACAAGGTCATGTGCTAATTTTTCCTGGCTTGTGTAAGCCACTATACTCACCTTGTTCTTCCGCTAGGGTTTCACTTTGCCCAGGCTGGCTTTGCTCAAGAGATTACCAGTACTACTATGCCTAGTCTATTTTACATTTGGAACTGTCTTGCTATGTAGACAAATGTGATTGTCCTGTGTCCAACTCCTGTGCTGGGATTGTAAATTACTATCAGCACACCCAGCCTTGTTTTGTTTTAAATTGTTTTATTTATTTATTTTTTTTCATTGGTCGTGGGGCTTGAACTCTAGGCCTGGGCGCTGTCCCTCAGCTCTTCAGCTCACTTGAGCCACAGTGCCACTTCTGGCCTTTTCTATCTATGTGGTGCTGAGGAATAGAATCCAGGGCCTCATGCATGCAAGGCAAGCACTCTACTTACTAAGCCACCTTCCCAGCCCCTCAAGTACTTTCTTAACCATATTAAAATATGAAAATTAGCCCAGGCCCTGAGTTCAAGCCCCATGAATGACCAAAAAAAACACCGAATAAAGTAATATGAGTTCAGTCTTCATATATATATGTACATATATACTTTAAAATCTCATTCTATTCAAAGGATAATTATAATTAAAGTAATTTTAAAATAAAGATGCCATTTTATTAACTTAGGGTCCCACACTTTTTTTTGTGTGTGTGCTGGTCATGGGGCTTGAACTCAGGGCCTGAGCACTGTCCATGAGCTTTTGTGCTCAAGGTTAGTGCTCTAAGCCACAGGGCCACTTCCAGCTTTTTGGTAGTTAATTGGGTATAACAGCCATGGACCTTGCTGCCCACGCTGGCTTTGAACCTTTATCCTCAGATCTTGGCATCCAGAATAGGATTACAAGCATGAGCCACTGACACCTGGCCTGCACATGAAGTTTCAAAGGTTCTTAAATGTATTTGACTATTACCTTTATGTTTTAGCGTCCACGGCTCCATTCCTCTCAAGATCCAGTAAAATACTCCAGTGTAAATCATCCCTCCATATACACCCAGTATTCCGTGACAGGATGGCCTTATATTTCTAACCGCGTATAGCTCCTTCCAGACCCAGGATTTCTTCAGATTGTCCTCATAGTCAGTTATATGGAGTCCTTTTATGAAAATGGGAAATATTAAGTGGACAACTGACCAGATATACATGAAATACTATTGTCAAGAAACTTGGCTATTGAAATATTTGATGAGTGAATATCCAGTAATATTTTTTTGCTCCATCTTCCTTGCAAGGCCTGTGTACTGCCTCCCTTACTGAAGGTTCCTTGTGTGCCCTTTTAGTGTTGAACGTGTGCCTCCCCTCCCTCCCCCAGCAGTGAGACTTGCACAAGTGAAATCTGGAGATGTCTCGCAAACTAGGTGCTCAGTCTCCCAAAGCTGGAGATATATTGCAAACTAGATGCCCACTCTTCCTAAACCTGGAGAAGTCTTGCAAACTAAATGCTTAATCTCCCTGACCACTAAGGAATATTTTACCAGTGGTGTTGGTGTTTCATGTCTTGTTCATGCATGAAGTTTTGTGGTACTTGCTGGAGTCCCTGTTCCCCACATTGCTGAGAGAATTCAGGTCTCAGATGGAATTCCAGTCCAAGAGAGCCAGTTGCCCAATACCCCTGGGCTTCCACAAGGCAGAGGGACACGTCTCTTTAGGGGAAAGGGCTCTCAAATACCTCCCCCCTGGATGGAAAGATCCCAGATGGCTCCCCCAAATTGTTCTAAATATAAATTCCAGAACGATTGGAGTCACAACAATAAACACAAAGAATTGTCTCAGCAAGGCAAAACTGCAGAAGTGTATGCCATCAGCCAAAAATCTGGCAAGTAAGCACTTAGTTCTAGCTTTTTGCTGGCTAGAGATTAAAGTCTTGTTTTTATCTGCCCAGGCTGGAGGATTGGAAGTGTGAGCCATTAGTGCACAATAATCCTATTTTTAAAAGTAATTTTATTTGAATGTAGCCACACTTATGCATTGTGGATGTTTTTGAGGAAGGTTAACTACAGGGGAAGAAAACAAACCATCTCTTTTGGTCTTTCCCAGGGGAATGCCCATGTATTTCCTCCCCAGTACCATTTCCAACCATTCTTCCTTGTGGTAAATCTATGGTCTGCAGCAATCCGAAGTAATTTTTAACAGGTGGTCATTAAAAATAAAAAAATTCCAGTATTGAGGATTGAACCCAGGGTTTGTGCTCTTCCAGTGAGCTAAATCCCCAGCTCTGAATTCTTTTTAGGATGTTTTCCTTAGTTTGAAAATTTAGCAAAACTGAACAGTTCGTAAGTCATCACTAGAATTACTACTGAAAGTGTCTTTGCAAAAATATAATTTGAAATTCTAGCTCCAATACCTCTGACCTTGTAATGAGATGGTTATAGATGTAATTAACTTATTAAGGTCTACGGTTGATCTCTAAACCAATATGACCAGAATTCTTTTAAGAGAAATGACACAAAAGATGGCCAAATGTCAAAAGATGGCCAAATGTCAAAAGATGCTTAAGGTTCTCAGAAGCTTGGAGAGGCAAGACAGAGACCTACAGAGACCTCAGGCAACATAGTCCTTTCACGACCTTGATTTTGGACTTTTAGCTTGCAGAACCTGAAAGAGTAAGTTTTGTTGCTTAATGCCATCTAAGTTATTACAGTAACCTCAGGAAATCATTAATACTACCTAAAATTGGCATACATTTAAGAATTCAGGGGAAAAATAGTTGTTTTCATTGCGTTTCATGAATTCCACACTGTCAGAGCTGGAGGTTCTATCAGCAGAAGGGTCATATGCCTGTGACTCCGGTCTTTGTGAGGTGCCTTCTGTGTACTTTATATGTATGCAGTATAAATGAAATACTGTCAAATTTGAAATACTCTAGGTAGAGAGGACACTACTGATGTATATTTTAGACTATTACATAATATATATAATCTATGGAATATGTATATATATTATACACATACTTTTAAAAATATACTTTTTCCTTTTGGTGAATAAATTTTTGTTGTTGTTGGTCATGGGGCTTGAACTCAGGAACTGGGTGCTGTCCTTGAGCTTTTGTTTAAGGCTAGCACTCGACTACTTTGAGCCACAGAGCCACTTACAGTGGGTAACTTGAGATAGGAGTTTCATGGACTTTCCTTCGCAGGCTGGCTTTGAGCCATGATCCTCAAATTTCATCCTCCTGAGTAGCTAGGATTATAGGAGTGAGCCATCAGTGCCTGGATCAGTATGAGGGTTGGAACTTAGGGCCTTGTACTTGCTTATAGATGGTGCCTCTACTATTTGCGTACTCCTTCAGCCCAGCTTTTTGCTTGAGCATAGCATATAGCATATAGTTAATTGGAGATGAAGTCTTATGGACTTTTCTGCTCAGTCTGGTTTCAAACTACAATTTGGATTTCAGCCTCCTGAATAGCTAGAATTACAATTGTGAGCCATATGTACCTGGTTACTTGTTTACTTTTTTTTGGGTCTAGTCATGGGGTCTGAACTCTGGACATGGGCGCTCTGTCCCTCAGCTCTTCAGCTCAAGACTAGCGCTCTACCACTTGAGCCACAGTGCCACTTCCGGCTTTTTTCATTTTGCTTATGTGGTGCTGAGGAATTGAACCCAGGGCCTCATGCATGCAAGGCAAGCACTCTACCAATGAGCCACCTTCTCAGCCCACTTGTTTACTTTTTTTTTTTTTTTTTTTGTCGGTCGTGGGGCTTGAACTCTGGGCCTGGGCACTGTCCCTCAGCTCTTCAGCTCAAGGCGAGCGTTCTACCACTTGAGCTACAGCGCCACTTCTGGTTTTCTGGTGGTTTATTGGAGATAGGAGTCTCACAGTCTTTCCTGCCCGGGCTGGCTTTGAACCGTGTTCCTCAGATCTCAGCCTCCTGAGTAGCTAGGATTACAGGCGTGAGCCACCAGCGCCCAGCTTGTTTACTTTTGATTGGACTAGAATAACTGTTTTAAAATTCTATTAGGAACAGAGAATAGGTCATGATGTTTTTAGTGCAACATAAATATTAATATTTTGTTTTAAGAGACATGCAAAACTTCTTATAATATCAACTGAAATGTACATAGCTGACACTTTTCTTTCCTATAATAGGAATTTCTTACCTAACGTTTTTGATTGGAGATTTTCACTAGTTAGCTGATTAAAAATTGATTCTGCTGCCAAACTGCCACTTTTCATTGCTGTGTGGGTACCTTTGATCTTGGGAACATTCATGAAACCAGGGCTACAACCAATTAGTAAACCACCAGGAAAGGTGAGTTTTGGAATAGACTGAAAGAAAAATTCAGAATACATACGTTAGCTTGAATTTGGCAAAACTGAACACTGACAAGCAAATCTTACAAGAACTACAGGGAAAAGCTGGAAAATAAACGTAAAAATGAACGCAACAAGGAAGGAATACAGCAAGTGCAGTCTTAGTCCTCTAGGACTACTATTTTTTTCTGTTAAGTTTTTCCTTTTCCTATTCCATGGGACTGATTTAAGGTTGAAGCATTAACATACTGTAAATTTAATGCTTTTATTTGTACAGATATATGCCATATTTACAAATATTCTCTAATTTTGGTTTGCTTTTACATGTATTGTAGGAAAATACATGACTTATCAGGATCCTATATGTCCTTTTGTTTTAGTTTCGTAGGTAGGAATGGAAACGTGATCTAACATGGCATTAGTACAAGATGCTTACCCCAAACAATGCATTTACTTTTTGTGCCAGTCCTGGGGTTTGAACTCAGGGCCTGAACACTATCTCTGAGCTTCTGTGCTCAAGGCTAGTGCTCTACCACTTGAGCCACTACTCTACTTCTGGCTTTCTGGTGGTTAATTTGACATCAGAGTTTCATGAACTTTCCTGCCTGGGCTTGCTTCAAACCAAGATCTTCAGATCTCAGCCTCCTGGGTAGCTAGGATGATAGGCATGAGCCTTTGGTAGCTGGCTTATTTATTTATTTTTTGGCACAGGAGACTGAAACTTAGAGCCTTGCATTTGCTAGGCAAGCCCTCTACTACTTGAGCCATACTCCTGGTCTTAATTAAGTTGAATTTACAAAATAAAATCTAAGACAGTTTCTTGGATCCCAATACACACTGTTGAGATTTTTTAAATTACAACATAATAAAGGGTGGTGATATTTTTTGACTTAATCAATAAAAGCACATAGCCAATATTAAGGCTATATACTATGCTCAAGGCTAGTGCTTTACCAATGAGCCACAGCTATACTTCTGGCTTATTTGTTAGTAAACTGGAAGTAAGATCCTTATGTTTTCCTGGTTTTGAAACATGATCTTCAGACCAAAGCCTCCTGAGTAGTTAGGATTACAGGTGCCTGTACATATAACACTATACCATAGTGGGTGAATACATTACTGTGCATGGGAAATTTTATTCTGGTATGTAAAAGAAAGGAGAGAGCCAATGCAGAGTTGTTTTCATTCCATATTTTTTCCCCCTAAAGTAACCATGAGGCTTTGCTGAGAAGGTTGGTGGGATACTAAGGAGGTAAAAGTTATAATGATGTGTATGTAGCTCCTCAGAGGAGAGGGGCTAACAACAAACTTAGCATCAGCAAGCTGCTAAAGAGGCACAATAAGTGCTCTGTTATTCCAAAATGGGTCCTTAAATCCTACTATAAATATTACAGCCCAAGTAAGTATTTAAGGTGAGGATGTTGCTTAGAAGTACAGTTTCTGCCTAGCAAGTAAGGCCCAGAGTTCAAACCCCTACCGCAATAAAAATAAGCATAAAAAAAACCAGTGTATTTAAATTCTGGGTGGATCCTATTGCAGATGTTACCAGCAGCAGGAATCTGTTAGAGAATTAGGGACCAAGGAAAAGCTATATATAAACTAAGACTTCAAGTAAATAGAAGCCTATCAGGTAAGGTCAGTTTTGGTATAAAGAAAAAGATAGCATTTATTAGCTCAAAATAAATGTTTTAAATTATTGCCTTTATTATAATGAAAAAAACCTTACAATCTAATTAGAAGTAATTCCACAATAGAACTTAGGGACAGTGTCATTTAAAAGTTCTCTGCTCATGTTGATAATACTGATTTTACTTATTTATTTTTATTCATATACTAATAAAGTACTTAAAGCTTCAATTTAAGGTTAAGTAATTTCCATAATTCCTATTGTCTGTTATAGTTATGATGGGTTAAAAATAATTTCTAAAGCAGTACTAGGTTATTAGAATGTTAGATGCAGAAGAATATCTTTATTTTGCATTGATTCCCTCAGCCAGAGAAATTAGTAACTTGCTTCAAATATTCTTTGGTTGAGAGCTGGGTTTTAAATCATCTCACTTGTCTGATACTGTTTTTTTTGGGGGGGTGGGGAAGGGTGGTTCTGGGGATTAAACTCCAGGGCCTGGGTAGTATCCCTGAGCTTTTTTGCCCAAATAACATTCCTAAAGATTTTATTTCAGTTAGCCACCTAGGTCTTACTTCATTGTTTAGTATATATTGACTATATTAAATACATTTGAGAAGATTTACTTTGAATCTAAAATACTAATATAGGGCAATTAATAAAATCTTTACAGAGGCTAACACACTGGGTATTATTCATTAGTTGGGATGAATAATTTTTTTTTTTTGGGTCCGGTTGTGGGGCCTGAACTCTGGGCCTGGGTGCTGTCCCTCAGCTCTTCAGCTCAAGGCTAGCACTCTACCACTTGAGCCACAGCACCACTTCCGGCTTTTTTTCTTTTTGCTTATGTGGTGCTGGGGAATCAAACCCAGAGCCGCATGAATTGCAAGGCAAGCGCTCTACCACTGAGCCACCTTCCTAGCCCCAGGATGAATAATTTTTACTAAAAACTAAATTTGCTTTTGAGTTTCCTACTAGTGGTAATAAAGGGAAATATGGATTGCACAGATTTTATTATCTGATTAAAAAGAAATTGAAAGTCAAAAAGCCCATGAATTTTCCATAAGAGATCAATATAATTTTAAATAATTCATGGTATAAATTATTGTATCCATAGTTTTTTTTGTTGTTGTTTTATTGTTGGTCATGGCTCTTTAACTCTGGGCCTAGGCACTGTCCCTGAGCTCTTCAGCTCAAGGTAAGCACTCTACCACTTGAGACACAGCACCACTTTCAGTTTTCAGGTGGTTAACTGGAGGTAAGAGTCTCACAGACGTTCCTGCTTAGGCTGGCTTTGAACTGCGATCCTCAGATCTTAGCCTCCTGAGTAGCTAGGATTACAGGTGTGAGCCACCGGTGCCCAGCTTGTCCATAGTTTTATTAAACACATTTTATTTCTGTAACACAATTTTCTACTTTTTACTTAAGCTGATTTAAACTAATTTCTACTCTTTTTTTTTTTTGGGGGTCCAGTCGTGGGGCCTGAACTCTGGGCCTGGCAGCTCTTCAGCTCAAGGCTAGAGCTCTACCACTTGAGCCACAGTGCCACTTCTGGCTTTTTTCATTTTGCTTATGTGGTGCTGAGGAACCGAACCCAGGGCCTCCTGCATGCAAGGCAAGCGCTCTACCACTGAGCCATCTTCCCAGCCCCTAATTTTTACTCTTTAATCAATTTAAAATTTATAACATGAAAATAATGACTAAAGCATTGGAATAGATACCTGAAAGCCACCTTCGTTGAGAGCCCTGGCTCCATAGGCAATCCTTTTTCCACCTTCCAATGTTGGCTGAACGCTGGGATGATGCTTCCACCTTTGGAACTCTCTAAATGGACTCAGGTATGGATTCTGATAGTCTAAACCAACCTTGAAATGTTTATATTTCAGTTTGACATATTTAATGTAATTAGCTATTTTAATTTCAAGTCAAGCTAAAATGTGAGCAGTATCAGAAAACATGTATATTAAATGAAGTTTTATATATAAAGTACTAATGGAAATACATGCAAATTTAATAACTATAAAATTTATGTAAAAAGGGTAAACTAAAGGAACATGAATTTGAATCAGCAAAACTTAAATGTAGAGCAAATAGCAATTAATATGCTCTGGAAATCAAGTTCAATTTAGAAAAATATCTGTAGATAACTTTCTCAGATTATGTTTCTACAAAAGTCATTAAAAAAAAGTTGTAGCTTTCTATTCCTTGACCAATACCAACTATAGAAAAAAACCTAGTAATTTATAGTATAATAATTCTAAGTCAAAATAGAGAAAAGAGACATAAATTACATTTGGAAAAAAGTGAAAAAAATATAGAGATTACATTTTATAAGACATTACTAAAGTCCTGAAATTAAAAGCCGTACCTTTTTCCTACTGATAAGGTTAATTCCTCAAAAGTGATGTACTGAAAACTTGACTGGATAGCAAGTGTTATATATCAATAATGCCTAAATTTAACCATGTGTTATATACAAATATAATTCCAACACTAAAGTTGCCATGAATTGGAAAATGTAGAAACTCATTTTTTCCATTCTTTATGGTGTTCAAGATATAGTGAATTGGAAAATGTAAGTGGCTAAGAAAGAAGAAATAGATATTGAGTTTTAGAAGTTATAGGTTGAAATGAAGTGCTAATTTCATTTTTAGTGATAGTATGCCATAGTGAAAATGGGACTTTGAAGTGACTCTTATCATTTAATGTGTATATTTGGAAGAGTTGTTTAACTCGTTTGGACTTCAGTTTCCTTACCAACCCATGATGAAGCAAACTTACACATCTTGTAAAGCTTCTAGCACCATGCTTAGAGTGTAGGTATTATTACGATAGGCATGTGTGTTTAAGTAGACTAATGTCTACAGTAGCCCTAAGCATATTGCATATAGATAAAACTGGAAAGTAAACTTTAACTAAAAATCATTCAAAACCCCCCTTTTTTTTTTTACAACACTGATAATCCTATAACTCTAGCAGAATATTCCATGAGGTGTTATAACTTACCACAAAACCAAGAGCTACTAGAGGTTCACCTTCATTTAAATGATAAAGGAAAGAGCCTCCATATGTATGTCTGTCCAAAGGCCAACCAACAGTATGGTCTACTCTCCCAGGTTTCCACTTTTTTTCGTCAATAATCCACAGCTAAAAACCAAAATCCAAAAAAACAAAACTGCTATATTATTAATTACAAGTGAAAAATAGTAATATGAGGATCGCAAGAAAATTACCTCATACATCAAAGAATTATTTCAACCTGCAGCATGTTGAATTTGAGTAAAGAAATGGGTCAGAAGGTTATGAATCCTTTAAAAGACAGTTTCAAACTGCAAAGACTTTTGTGATATATAGGAAGCACTACTGAAGGGATGAGGGAAACTTCTGGGGTGCTGATATTCCACCCAATAGTGGTTACCAATGAATATGTTATAAATTAGCAGGGCTGCAGACTTTAGGTCTGTTATTTTATAATACACATATTATTTGTAATACAAGTTTATTCTTTCCTGTCTCTGCCTCCTTACAATAAAAACAAATTGTTCATTCTATTTTCAGAATGGTATGTTCAAAATTTCATACAATTTTCTTGTGAAATATCAAAAGGTCTGATGTGTGTAATCTACCAAAATAAGCCCTTAGTCACAATATATTGAATTTAGTTACATGTAAAATTTGAATCAGATTTAACCTATAAATAAATTTGTTTTTTCAGGAGAGAAGACAGGAGAGAAGACGCGCTGGCACTGGGGCTTGAATTCAGGAACTGTACTCCAGCTTGCTGGTTAACTGGAAATAGGATTCTTTTTATTTTTATTTATTTTTTTGGGGTCTGGTCGTGGGGCCTGAACTCTGGGCCTGGGCGCTGTCCCTCAGCTCTTCAGCTCAAGGCTAGCGCTCTACCACTTGAGCCACAGCGCCACTTCTGGCTTTTTTTTTACTCTGCTTATGTGGTGCTGAGGAATTGAACCCAGGGCCTCATGCATGCAAGGCAAGCGCTCTACCACTGAGCCACCTTCCCAAGGCTGGCTTTGAACTGTGATCCTCAGATCTCAGACTCCTGAGTAGTTACCATTACAGGTGTGCGCCATTGCACCAGGATATTGGCTTCTTTCTTCCTTTCCTTTCCTTTCCTTTTTTCCTCTTCTTCCCTCCCTTCCTCTCTCCCCCCTCCCTCCCTCCCTCTCTTTCTTTCTTGATAATCTTACTGTGAAGACCATAAATTTGTTATCATTCTGCCTCAGCCTCTAAAGTGTTGAGATTGTGAGTGTATGTCAACACATCTGGCTTAAACTTGTTACATAAAGAGTTATAGGTGGGTGTTGGTGGCTCAGGCACAAGTCAAGATCCTAGCAACCCAGGAGGCTGAGATCTGAAGGTCTTGGTTCGAAGCTAGTTTGGGCAGAAAAGTCCACATGACTCTATCTCCAATTATCCAACAACAACAGCAAAAGCTGTACTGGGAGCATAGCTCTAGACTGCCAGCTATAAGTGAAAAAGCTGAGTAAGAATTCAAGGTACAAAATTCAAACCCTGATACCAACACAAAGAAAGAAAACAAAAGGGTTAAAATTATAATTTTACATGCCTAAGAAGCTCGATTTTGGAAAACACACGAGAATGAATAAATTAAGAGGATATACAATATGTAACCTAATTAAATTTTAAATTGCAGATCAATATATCATGACTGAGTATTATATAAATTAAATAATTTTCACATTGCAATTTTGAATAAACAACTCTTTGTAGCATGTAGCAAAGTCGAAATATTTTCAAGTTTAATGCTCATTTCAAGCAACATTAGATAAAACAATTGCAAAATACAAAATAATTTGGTTATTAATGTAACCTGGTCAGTAGTATTTTTTAGCCCTTGAAAAATACTCAAATATTTTAGTTGCAATTAGTATTTCACATTAAGGAAAAATGTACCCACAAAATTAAATCAATATTCTAAGGTACATAATATAAATTAAGTTTCATTTTTTTCAAAATTAAAATACTCAAACCAGAATACCTCCTTCAGTCCAATCCCATAGGTTTGGGGATCACAATTGGATCTCAAATCAAACTTCTTATACAGTTGCTTGGCTAGGTGTCCATGGCAACCCTCTGCAAAAATTGTGACTTTAGCATGAAGCTCTAGTCCCCTCTCAAATGTTGTCTGAAAAGCAAAACCAGGTTAAATGTGAACATTTGACAATTTATCATCATGTCCTGGTCAGTTTTAAGTTGAGTTATGATTCAAGTACATATAACTCACAATGAAACTCACTTTGTACAATTAATATATGATAATAAAGAGAAATAAAACTAAGAGTACTGTTGAAAATGGAACTTAATTTAAATTTTATCTCATGTCTTTATTAGAAGAAAAATGATATTAAAAAAACTCTTTATTAGCTGGGTGCTGGTGGCTCAGGCCTATGATCCTACCTTTTCAGGAAGCTAAGACCTGGAGGAATGAGATTTGAAGCAAGCCTGGGAAGGAAAATCTGTGAGACTTTTTTTTTTGTTGTTGGTTATGGGGCTTGAATTCTGGGCTAGGGCGCTATCGTCCCTCAGCAATTCAGCTCAAGGCCAGCGCTCTACCACTTGAGCCACAGTGCCACTTCCAGTTTTTCTGGTAGTTAATTGGAAATAAGAGTCTCAAGGACTTTCCTGCCCGGACTTGTGATCCTTAGATCTCAGCCTCTTGAGTATCTAGGATTACAGGCATGAGCCACTGGTGCCCGGCTAGACATATCTTTACATAACCACCAGAAAGCCTGAAGTGGAGGTTTAGCTCAAGTGGTAAATGTCAGTCTTGAGTGAAAAAGCCAAGTGAGAGAGAGGACCTGAGTTCAAAAGCCCTGTTATTGCCTCTCACCAAAATAAACAACCCTCCAAAACAAATGAAAATAAAGTGAAATGGCATTTTTTCACTGTTTCTGATTTTCTATACTGTATGAATCAAAAGTTTTCTTGGGAATCATGCCAGAAAATGTTTATTAATAAAAACTATAAAAATAATATGTATATCCATTATTACATCGATACAATCACACTAAACATACTCTTCAGCTACTTGTTTTTTTCACTTGAACTTTTCCCCTAGTGTTAAACTAAAAGCTACAATGAGAGTTAGACAAAAAGCAAAAAGCCTAGCACTCAGGAGGCTGAAGTTACTAAAACAACAACAACAACAAAACAAACCCACAATAATCAGGAAACCACTTATAAAGTATGTCTTTTTTTTTTCTTACAAAGCAAGAGAATTTTTGAGCTTTATTTTATCTTTAAAAATATTTTTATTAGCCAGGCACTGGTGGCTCACGCTAGCTACTCAGGAGACTGGGAACTGAGGATCACCTTTCAAAGCCAGCCCAGGCAGGAAAAGTCTGTGAGACTCCAATTAACCAGAAGTGGCGCTGTGGCTCAAGTGGTAGAGCGCTCACCTTGAGCTGAAGAGCTCAGGGACAGTGCCCAGGTCCAGAGTTCAAGCCCCATGCATATAGTAGCTGAACAGAAGTTTTCATTATGACCTTCTATATATGCTTCAATGTATCTTGATTAGATTCACCCCTCACCCCCTTAATCACTCTCCTTGATCCCCAGCAGCCCTTCTTAAAACAATTTCAACATTTCATTTTATAGATGTAAATTAAGTATTTTGACCATATTTAACCCTCCATTCACATTCCCTTCTCTAAATGGTATCACTTTCAGACAATTTGTTTTACATTCCTCTCAGTTTTAAAGTGTATATTAGTTGTTCAAAGGGGTTTCATTGTAGTATTTTACACAGAACAGATACAGTATTTCAATCAGATTAGCTCTCGTTTCCTCTTCTCTCACCTATTATTTGATAGCTTTCATTGTGTTTAGTTATAAAGCATATCTTTTTTTTTTTTTGTCGGTCGTGGGGCTTGAACTCTGGGCCTGGGCGTTGTCCCTTAGCTCTTCAGCTCAAGGGGAGCGCTCTACCCCTTGAGCTACAGCGCCACTTCCGGTTTTCTGGTGGTTTATTGGAGATAGGAGTCTCACAGTCTCTCCTGCCTGGGCTGGCTTTGAACCGCGATCCTCAGATCTCAGCCTCCTGAGTAGCTAGGATTACAGGCGTGAGCCACCAGCGCCCGGCTTAAAGCATATCTTTTCTGTGTGTGTACTAGAGATTGAACTCAGGGCTGGGGGCACTGTCCTTAGCTCTCACTCAAGATTAGCACTCATTACTTATGCCACAGTTCCACTCTGGCTTTTTGCTGGTCAACTGCAGATAAGATTCTCTTAGACTTTGCTGCCCTAGCTGGCTTTGAACCTCAATCCTCAGATCTCAACCTCTTGAGTAGCCAGGATTACAGGTGTGAGCCAACAGTTTCTGGAAGCATTATCTTTTTTGGTTTTTTTAATTCATAGCTGAATGCATGTTTGTACAAAGGTAATCATATAATTAATAGGTTTACATTGATATGTGTCTCCTTTATAATTGTTTTCATATTATAAAGTGATTTGTCTAAAGCAATGTACAACAAACATTACCTTTTTTCTTTTTTACTCATACTAATGCTTGAACTTGGCATCCAGTGCTTTCACTCAGCTTTCTTACTCAAAGCTAGTTGGTACTCTAGCATTTGAGACATGCCTCCAGTCCAATTAAAGCATTCATTTTTATTGCTTTAATAGATTCCCCCAAGCTTTAAACCAAGTTTCAGTAGTTGAACCTTTATGTCGCTGCAGTGTTTGACTACTGTTTCTGTCAGTTCTGGGGCTTGAACTTAGGGCCTGACACTGTTGCTAAGCTTTTGTGCTCAAGACTAATACTCTACCACCCTAAAAGTGGTAAGCTGTGGCTTAACCACAGCTCCACTTCCAGTTTTCTAGTGGTTAATTGGAGATAAAAGTCTCAAGGACATTCCTGACCAGGGTGACTCTGAACCTTGATCCTCAGATATCCGTCTCCTGAATAAGTAGGAGTACAGGTGTGAGCCACCAGTGTTCAGCTATTTTTTTTTTAAGATTTGTTTTAATAGATGAGCTCAAGCCCCAGTACTGGGACAAAAAACAAACAAAAAAGGATCTTGGGTCGCAGATAGCTCACACCTATAAGCCTAGCTATTCAGGAGGCTGAGATCTGATGAGTGCCGTTCAAAGCCAAACGGGGCAGGAAAGTCCGAGGGACTCTTCTTCTTTTTTGGTCGGTTGTGGGGCTTGAACTCTGGGCTTGGGCACTGTCTCTGCACTCTTTAGCTCAAGGCGAGCACTCTACCACTTGAGCTACAGCACCATTTCTGGTTTTCTAGTGATTTATTGGAAATAAGAGTCTCATGGTCTTTCCTGCCCTGGCTGGCTTTGAACAGCACTCCTCAGATCTCAGCCTCCTGAGTAGCTAGGATTACAGGCATGAGCCACTGCCCTGTGAGACTCTTATCTCCAATAAACCACTAGAAAACCAGAAGTGGTGCTGTGGCTCTAGTGGTAGAGAACTAGCCTTAAGCTGAAGAGCTGAGAGACAGCAAGAGGCCAACCAAAAAAAAAAGGATCTTGGCCAAGCTGGTCTCAAATTTTGACGATTCAGTTGTTCTTCCTTCCTAAGCCCTGGACTACAGTAACCATGCCCAGCTTCCTTTATGCTTTTATATATGACTAAAAATCTATGTATTTATACATAAAAAATCATAGAACATAAGAAAATTTGCACAAAAGGAGAAAAATACTTAATAGTAAAATCTGTGTAAGTCTTGTTGTAAGATTAAATAAGTTATTTATAAGTTACATTATTTATTTATTTTTATTTTTTTTGTTGGTCGTGGGGCTTGAACTCTGGGCTTGGGCGCTGTCCCTGGGCTCTTCAGCTCAAGGTGAGCACTCTACCACTTGAGCCACAGCGCTACTTCTGATTTTCTAGTGGTTTATTGGAGATAAGAATCTCATGGACTTTCCTGCCTGGGCTGGCTTTGAACCCTGATTCTCAGATCTCAGCCTCCTGAGTAAGATTACAGGTGTGAGCCACCCGTACCAGCACAATATTTAATTTCATAAGTAGATTGCCATAATGAAAAAACAATAACCTTTATACATGAAAAATAATATTCTTTTGTTATTATGAAATAATCCTTGTTTGTAAACCTAGCTATACATCAGATCCTTAGGACTTGTAAAAAACAACTTGTTGGTCTCTATTGCAGGACATGGTGAGCCCCTAGATTTCAGATGATTCTGATGCAGTCAGTTAAAACAGTAGAAGGAGCCCTGAAAGGCAGGACTTACAAGCTTTGCCACTTGCTTTCTAACCTGGAAGTACTGAGAAGTAAGATCTGTGGGAGTAGACTGGACTTCTAATTTGGTTCAAGAGCAGCTAAAAAGAGAATAAACTATCAGTAAATACTAATACTGGGGTCCTAATAAATACCTGGCACTGTGCCAGGCATTACAGTAACCTTCTATGACCTCTGTCTGTCCTTAGTTTATAATGTAATTAGGAAGAGAATAAACAAACATAAATAGATAATGCATTGATCTTTATTTTGATTGTATTTCAGGTAAGCAAAATACTTCTTGTCTTTTCCATGTAGCATTGACAGGTGAGAGCTCCATATTGTAGAGTGGCTTTCCTTTAATAAAAATTTTTTTTGGTGCCAGTACTGTAGCTTGAATTCAGGGCCTTGAGTTTTCTACATTTTAAATTCAGGGCTTCCATCTGTCTACTTTTGGAAGGAGAGGAATGCAACCAGTTTTACATACACTAAAATATTTTGGTCTGTTCAAATCAGGTCAAAGTCTATTAGTATTTACTTACTGATAACAATGTAAATACTGTCCACAGGTGTGGAAATTATGGAGGTGGATACGCAGGTCACTTAACTGGCTGTAATAATGTAACAACTTATGAATTCTCTTATTAACTGAATGAAATAAAATCTTTTGACATGTTGGTTTTTTATTTATATGACTCAAGTTTTATCTTTTAAAAAATATTCTGACAGGATGGAATAGAAGAAACCTTAGGTCTCCTTGGCACAGGCCGAAATTTTCTTAATAGAGACCCAGAAACACAACAAATCAAAGAAAGGTTGGACAAACGGGATTGCATGAAATTGCAGAGCTTCTGCACAGCAAAGGACATAGCTAGCAAGCTCAATAGAAAGCCCTCGGGTTGGGAGAAGATATTCACTAGCCATACAAAGGACAAGGGTCTCATATCTAAAATATACCTGGAACTCAAAAATTTAAATCCCCCAACAACAAATCTTTAAAGAAACAACTGCCCAATAAATAAAAGTGGGCTAAAGACTTAAAAGAAAAACTTCTCTGAAGAAGAAAGAAGGATGGCCAATAGACACATGAAGAAATGCTCAACCTCTCTAGCCATAAAAGAAATGCAAATCAAAACAACATTGAGATACCACCTCACCCCAGTTAGAATGGCTGTAACCAAGAACTCTAATAACAACAGATGCTGGAGGGGATGTGGACAGAAGGGAACCTTACTGCATTGTTGGTGGGAGTGTAAACTTGTTCAACCACTTTGGAAAGCAGAATGGAGGTTCCTCAAAAGACTCCACATAGAGCTCCCCTATAACCCAGAATGATCACAAACAAGACCACACTAAAGCTACCAGCACAACTATGTTTATTGCAGCATTATTTACCACAGCTAAGATATGGAACCAACCCAGATGTCCCTCAGCAGATGAATGGATCAAGAAAATGTGGTATATATACACAATGGAATTCTATGCCTCCATGAAAAAGAATGACATTGCCCCATTTGGTAGGAAATGGAAAGACTTGGAAAAAATTATATGAAGTGAAGTAAGCCAGGCCCAAAGAAACTTAGGTCCCATGATTTCCCTTATTTGCAATAACTAGTATATGTCTGAGTCAAGCAGAAAAGGTCAGATAAGGTGATATTAGGGAAATTAACCCTAAGATCTGAATTCAAATTTTTTTTTCATGCGATTGTTTCTAACATATTTATAAGATTATTTGTTGCTTTGTATGTCCCTCCCCCACGGTATAATCCCTGCTTTCACTGTATTTGATGTTATAATTTGTGGAGGGGAAAGGAAAAAACAAATTGTTTAAAGAGAGTTACAGGTTGACCCATTGCAACAATGAGATGTACAGGCGTTTTTTTGTAAAACGAACTTTACAACTTTGGTGGGAGGGGGGAGAGGGGAAGGAGGACTCGGTGGGGGGGGGGAGGAGGATGGGAAGGGATGGGAAGGGGAAACGAAGGAAACAAAGGGGAAACAATGCTTGATAAGAAATGTACTCATTATCTTGCCCATGTAATTGTAACCCCTCTGTACAGTATTTTCACAATAAAAAATTAAAAAAATATTCTTAGGTTTAAGAGCCCATGGCTCACCCCTGCAATTCTAGCCACTGAGGAGGCTGAGATCTGAGGATCATGGTTAAAAGCTAATTCAGGCAGGAAAGTCCCTGAGATTCTTTTCTCTAATAAACTACTAAAAAAAAGCCAGAAGTGGAGCTGTGCCTCAATTGGTAGAACTCTAACCTTGAGCAAAGGAAGTTCAGGGTCAACCTACAGGCTCTAAATTCTAGCCCCAAGACCAGCGCCCACATGGGAGCACAGGCATGCACACATGTACACACAAACACAAATCTGTTATATGTCATAAAGGAGTCTTTAACATCCATTTTTTTTTTGTTTTGTTTTTATGCTAGTCCTGGGGCCTGAACTCTGGGCCTAAGCACTATCCCTCAGCTCTTTAGCTCAAGGCTAGCGCTCTACCACTTGAGCCACAGCACCACTTCTGGCTTTTTCTGCTTATGTGGTGCTGAGGAATCAAACTCAGGGCCTTATGCACGTGAGGCAAGCACTCTACCACTGAGCCACCTTCTGAGCCCTAACATCCATTTCTTGCATGGGGAACAGGGAAATGGTTCTCTCTTTTTCCTTTTCTCCCTACTTTAACCCTGTTAAATTAAAATCCTTGCTAAAAAAGAGTGTCATAGTTTCTATATTCAACAAAATAATAAAAATACCTATTAATGTATTTTAAACCCCACATAATTAATGTCCAGATTATCACAAAGCCTAAATTATTGAGTTTGAGTTGTTTCTTTTTTACTGGTCAGTTTTTTAAGCACATAACTATTAGGTTTACCTTTGGTGCACCATCCTTTTGTATGCCTACATCATTAGTAGCAATTCCCTTTACACTACCATCTTCATGAAACAGGACCTAAAAACAATAAAAACAAATTTATTGCCTCTTCAGGATTCATACTAAGCATGAAAAGAAACAGTCCTGGATTTCTTAGAAAATGAACATATTCTTTAAATTTACAGAAATAAATCTTTGAAATATTTAAAAGATACATGTTTTTATGTTATTCCTTCCCACATAATAAAAGAACACAACTCAAAGGAAATGAAATTAATGCCACAACCTTGATGAGAAAGAAAAGATGAGACTATTAAGAGAGATCACTAAAAAAAACCTGGTAAAATGAGGTAAAAAGTTTACTTTAGTAAAGATGCTGAAATCAAGGCCAGAAAATCTTAATAAAGCTTATGTCTCAAATGCATTAACATTCCTTATCCAAAAGAGAAAAGACAAAAAGACAAAAGAGAAAACAAAAGCTAAAGACAGTCTAGTGGATTTTACGTTTGGAGCAAGGAGAAGGCGGAAAATATGTCATATTCTTTTTTTATTATAAAGATACTGTACAGAGGGGTCACAGTTACAGGAGTAAGGTAATGAGTACATTGTTATCCCCTCTGTTTCCCTTACCATCCCTTCCCTCCCCACTTCCTCAACGCCTCCCCGCCCCTAAGTTGTAAAGTTTGTTTTCAACAGTGTCTTGTATATCTCATTATTACAATGGGTCAACCTGTATCCTTGTTTTAGTATTTTGTTATTTCCCTTCTCCTCCCCAAACTAGAAAAATGTATATACAAGATGCAGGGCACCAGTATCAAATACAGTTAAAACAGGGGTTATACCATAGGAGGAAGAGCATATAAAAGAAACAAAAAAAAATTACTTAGTGCATTAAAAACAACAGCAACAAAGAAAAAATCTCATGTCCATATCTTAGGGTTCATTTTGCTTAGCTCCTCTTGTCACATTTTCTTGATCCATTTATCTACTGAGGAGCATCTGGATTGGTTCCATATTTTAGCTATGGTGTACAATGCTGTGAAAAACAGTTGTGCTGGTAGCTTTAGTGTGGTCTTGTTTGTGATCGTTTGGGTAAATGTCCAGAAGTGGGATTGCTGGATTGTAGGGAAGCTCTATGTGCGTCTTTTGAGGAACTTCCATACTGCTTTCCAGAGGGATTGAGTAAGTTTACATTTCCACCAACAATGCAGTAAGGTTCCTTTTGGCCACATCTCCAGCATCTGTTGTTATTAGATTTCTTTTCTTTTCTTTTTTTTTTTTGTCGGTCATGAACTCTGGGCCTGGGCGCTGTCCCTTAGCTCTTCAGCTCAAGGCTAGTGCTCTACCACTTGAGCCACAGCACCACTCCCAGCCTTTTCTGTTTATGTGGTGCTGAGGAATTGAACCCAGGGCCTCATGCATGCAAGGTAAGCACTCTACCTCTGAGCCACCTTCCCAGCCCATAGATTTCTTGATTATAGCCTTCTAACTGGTGTGATGTGGGATTTCAATGTTGTTTTGATTTACATTTCTTTTATGGCTAGAGAAGTTGAGCATTTCTTCATGTGTCTATTGGCCATTCTTATTTCCTCTTCAGAGAAGTCTCTCTTTAAGTCTTTAGCCCACTTATTAATGGGGTGGTTGTTTCTTTGAGGATTTGTTGTTGGGGGGTTTAATTTTTTGAGTTCTAAGTAAGATGACCAACTATACTACTCTTTAACCTTTATTTCTGTTCATGTATGAAAAATTTTTTTGGGGGGGATAGAAATGTATGAAATATACACTGGAATCACATGACAAGGAGCAGAAGACTGAAAAGGTAAAATAGGGTACAGCAATGAATATGGAATAAAAGAGAGCCGGAGTCTGGATCAAGGTACTAAACAAACACACAAACTGACCCAAGGATCAATCTGATTTGCTCAGACCACATTGATGATGATCATTAAGGAGGTGAGAAAAAGATGAGAGGTAGAAGAGACTGTACATATACTCAGATAGTGAAAACAAGGGGTCCTGCAAATTACCTACCTGTGACTTTTGACACTGATCCGAGTCAAGAATGTTTAACAAGGAGCAATGCGAAATCCCACACTGGGGTCCAAAAACCCAAATGCTTATGTATGGGCTGGGAAAACAGAAATTTGTAGCAAAAAGTACAATACAGGGACATTTATGTTTTATTTCAATTAACAAATGTAAATTTTAAATTTTCCCTGATGTCAAAGACATAAAAGAAAGAACTGCTTTGTACACCTCACTTTTCTTTCAGTACTCCCTCTGCCCAACTATGGCAAATTCTTTGTTTTTCTGAGATACATGTAGACTTTAAAAAAGCTAAATAAAGCACATGCGTTTTTGTAACCCAGAAAGATCTCTTTGAGGCAATCACTCTGTGGTATAAACAAAGAGGATGCTGTCACCCTGTTTTGTAGAAGTTTGGAGTAGTTGTTGACTTCAAGTTGTAATTTGCAGCTTATCAAAGAGCACAACTTTTATTTCTCTTTTGTGTAGTGACAATTAGCATATATGTAATAGACTGTACCTTGCCTGGCTACTAAAAGAACTAATCTTCATTCTTGGCCTGTGACATTCATTGGAGTCTTGATTTAATGCTTGTTTAGTAATAAATCTTCATTCTTTTTCTTCTTGAAATTTATGGAAGGATTTTCCTGAGTTGGCAGTAGATTTCATATATTATCTTTCTAGGCCAACATGTTATTAGAGGGAGCTAATGAAATAAATGCCTAGGATAAAGAGGACAATAGTTCTGTTTCACACCGAGCTTGACGTAGTACTTTCATTATAAGTACCACTTTATAAAAGGAATTGAAAAGGAACATGTTCAAAAGAGGACAAGAATACTGATGAAACTCAAATTATATACCATCATGGTTGAAAGAAATGAGAAAATTTTGCCCAAGAAAACAAAACTCCAGGGTAAAGGTGGGAAGGAGAAAGCAGAACATAACTCAAACTGGAAACTGTCTTTGGAAGAGGGCACAGATTCCTTTTGTATAATATAAAACAGTAGGCAATTTCCATTCAATATAAAGAAAATTACCACAGATAATTTTTTTGTTCCTTAGGGTATTATTCATAAGGCACAAAATCACTTGATGGGGTACAAGTACTCCTTGGATTATATCTCTTTTAAGGTTCTTCCTAATTTCGCAATTGTATAACCCTATGCCTTAAATTTTTTTTTATTCTGTAAAATTCTTGTTTTAATTTACTGAAATGAGCTCCCCCCCACAAAAGGGCAGGTACTACCTGACTTATGTAACTGTACCTTCTCTGTACATCACCTTTAAAAAACAATAAAAAGAAAAACAAAATTGTTTTATTTAAAAAAGAAATTACTTCTTACAAATACTAAAGACAAAACAAAACTATACAGACCTCAGAAGCAGCATAACCAGGGTAGACTTCAACACCAAGAGCTTCTGCTTGTTCTCCCATCCAGCTTACTAAATGTCCCAAGCGTACAATGTAATTGCCATGATTGTTCATTGGAAGTCCTAAAAACATAGACTTAATTTGTTATGTATAATTTTTCACAAAACATTTCAAAAACCATTAAATTAATTTGTATCTATGTGCATTTTTGCACAAATGTACAGGTTATCTTGATGGTTATAACTTCAACCTATTTTTTGTTTTGATTTAAAGCTCTAGTTTGTTAAAAAAAAATTAAGCACTAAAACAAGTTACTGGATAGCTTAGAATACTATCATATTTCTAGACTGAAAGACAAAAGAACTAGTTTCCAGTTGTGCTTTTCTGTCAGATAACTATATTTTGGGGTAAATCCTTCAGATCACTGAACTTCAGTTTTCTCAACAGTAAAGGTGAAGAGTTCTTCATTAAAATATGCAGTTGCTTCCAGCTGTGGAATTCTATGGGTCTCTGAATATTATCACAGTACTGTACCTGGAAGAATTGGCACAGGAATTCTGTATTTCTCTGTTAAAATTCCAAATCTGTCTTCTGTTACAGGAGTATTAAGTGGAGCCTTGAAATGAGAGAAACAGTTTTAGCTTATATCTTTAAGGGAAATATAAATTAAAAAACACAAAAGGAGGCAAAAGGGAAAAGAAATTCCCCTGTTCATTTTTTGAAAATCTTGTAACTGAAATATCTTCTCTGTGTCTTTTGAGATGAATGGCAATCTTTAAAAAAGCTAAATAAGACCACTGCCAGTTTTATCTTAGGAATCTATTTCTTGGGGTCCTCAAAACATAGAACCTCATGTCTACCTGTTTGTGAGAGTTTAGAATACAGGGTTAGCTTAATGTCTGAAGTTCTGCTGGTTGAAAAAATTAGAGAATTTTTATTTTTCCTTTATATTATTAATAAATCCTAATTTTTTTTCTTTGGCCAGTTCTAGGGTTTGATTGAACTCAGGGCCAGGGCACTGTCCCTGAGCTTTTGTGCTCAAGGCTACCACCTTGAGCCATAACTCCATTTCTAGCTTTTTGGTGGTTAACTGGAGATAAAGCGTCTCACAGCCTTTCCTTCCTGGACTAGTTGTGAACCATACTCCTCAGATCTCAGTCTCCTGAGTTGCTGGGATTACAGATGTGAGCCACTGATGCTTAACTTATACAAACTGTTTTTTTAAAAAGATCAACTAGGGGGCTGGAAAGTTGGCTCAGTGGTAGAGTGCTTGCCTCGGATGCATGAAGCCTTGGGTTGGATTCCTCAGCACCACATAAGCAGAAAAAAGCCTGAAGTGGCACTATGGCTCAAGTGGTAGAGCGCTAGCCTTGAGCTGAAGAGCTGAGGGACAGCGCCCAGCCCAGAGTTGAGACCCACGACCAGACCCCCCCTCAAAAAAAGAAAACATGTAAAGTTAACGAAACCTACAACACAATAAAATTTAAGGCTGAGAGAAAAAAAGTGCTGTACAATTTTGAAGCACCAATATTTAGAGACCCTTTACAAGATCATGCTTTTCATAAATCCAGTACATAATTATGACATATAGAATTATATACAAGTACAAGTTAATACCTTTAAGTACAAATCTGATGTCAGAACTTGTATTTTAAAATTATATTTATATTTATATGTGTATTTACACATACACACTACACACACACACTACACACACCTTACTTGAAAAGCATTTCCTGTATTCCAAAATTCTGCAAATAGATTAGACTTTGTGTAAGAAAGAGCTTTTCATACCCCTTTCTCCTTCCAGTCTGGGAAGAGCTCTTTAAAAGCACCTGGGTCTAGGCAAGCCCCTGAGAGTGTATGAGCTCCTATTTGAGCAGCTTTTTCCACCAGACACACACGGATGTCCTTTTCATGTTCAGCAGCCAACTGCTTTAGACGAATAGCTGCTGAGAGCCCCGCAGGGCCTGCTCCAACTATCACCACATCGGCTTCCTCTGCAAATCTTTCCATATTCACTCCTGAGAGGTAAAATTTAAAAAAGATTAAAATTCTGAGGTTAATATGATACGATAAACCTATGATAAATTAAATGCTGTTTTAGAATGCTTTACTATGTTTTGTTATTATTTACTTTTGTTGATACTGGCACAAAAATACTGGGGCTTGAACTCAGGGCCTGGGCACTGTACCTTAAGTTTTTTCACTTAAGGCCTAGACCGTACTACTTGACTTATAGCTCAACTTCTAGCTTTTCAAGGGTTAACTGGAGATAAAGGTCTCATGGACTTTTCTGCCTGGGCTAACTATGAACTGTGATCCTCAGATCTCAGCACCCTCAGTATCTTTATTAGAGTATACACTATGCTGTAAGTGTGATTTATAGATGTTTCTCTGTGCTTTTTCATAATAATTCTATTAAGTTTATTTTTGTATTAGTTCAATGTTCTCTTAGATTCTGTTTTCCATAAATCAACTTTTTAGCTTCAAAATCCATTATTATAAATTTAGCAAATATCTACTTAACTAAATAGAAAGAGTTAATAAGTTTGGTAAAGTCATCAATATTATTAGGTATTTTAAAACTATCATAAAAATTAAAACATCACCATCCACAAAAGGATATAAAAGATCTAGAAAAATCTCAATATTATTGCACTTACCTTCCCATCGCTTGTCCTTATCTCGGGGATATATAGTATAGTGGGTAGTAATCTGAGGTGCAATGGAAGTTGAAGACCATCTTGTAGCACACACAGGCAGATAACTTTTGTTAAATTTTAAGGCATGGAAGCAATGATATGCTGCATAAAAATTATGAAATTATAAGGATAGGATAATATAACAAACAAAAGCTGCTCAGAAACAGAATATGATGAATATGCCATTTTAAATTAAAAACATGGTGAAATAAATAGTAAACTATTTGCAAGAAAGTATACACTCACTGCTCCTGTGTGAAAATCTTTCATCATTTTTTTTTTAACCTGGTGCTGGTCCCGAGGCTTAAACTTAGAGCCTAGGTGTTATCCCTGAGCTTTTTTGTTCGAGGGTAGCATTTAGTTTTTTTTGGTGCTAAATCAGAGCTAATAGTCTCATGGATTTTCTTGCCTAAGCTTGCTTTGAACCTCAATCCTCAGATCTCAGCCCCATGAGTAGATAGGATTTAGGCATGAGCCACTGGTATCCAGCTCATCACTGATTTTGATAAAGTCATCATTCCAAAGAATGATGGCATATCCATAAAATCTTTTATTTTTTTTCCCCACTGAGTATGGACTCATTAACTATTTTCAAACAAGTAGAGTATTAAAAAATGTAAATTGTAAGTAAATATGGCAGAAGCCATTTTAATCAAGTGACCAACATTATTTGCTTATTTCTTTCTTGTTTTACAGTACTATGATTTGAACTCAGGGATTCAAGATTGCTAGATAGGTGTTCTATCACTTGATCCAGAGTCTCCTTCCCCTGCCTCAAGCTCATGACCAACTTTAAATACCATCAGTAAAGGATAGTGCTATCACATATTCCCTGAAAAGATGCAATGAATGGAATTCTTCATCTCTGTGTTATACATCTTCAAACATCTTTAAATCTTAGTCTAATGAGAACTAAGATGGATAGTCATTCTACAAAATGCCTGATAAGAATGTAGCAAAAGTATCAAGATCATGAAAGACAAGAATAGAGAGAGGAGCTGTCACATTGATATAAATTTAAGGAGATATGCGAAGTCAAAGCAATTCAGTACTCTGGACAATATCCTAAAGTAAAAAAAGGAAATCTGAATACAGTCTGTAATTAGATGAAAGCATTTAATAAATGTTAATTTCTTAGTTTTTATAATTATACTAAAGCTTTCAAAAAGTACATGGGAACTCTATATTATTTTTGCAACTCATCTTTCAGTCAAATTATTTCAAAATAGAAAAGTTGAAAAAAGATCATGATATCAAATTAACTCAAAAAGATCAAAGACTGAAAAAGAAGAGCTAAAGTTACAAAACTCTTAGGAAAAAAATGTGCATATACATCTTGTGACTGCAAGTTAAGCATTTTTTTAATATAATCAAAATTATAAAAAAAATCTGGCACCTCATTTATGTTTCAAATGATGCCATTAAACCAAGTTAAAATATAACCTATAAGCAGTGGGCAAATGGCTCACGCCTGTAATCCTAGCTACTCAGGAGATCTGAAGCCTGCCCAGGCAGAGAAGTCCCTGAGAGACTCATCTCCAATAAACTACTCAAAAAACTCAGAAGTGGTGCTGTGGCTCAAGTGGTAGAGCACTAGCCTTGAGCATAAAGAGGCTAAGGGTGAGTACTCAGGCCCTGAGTTCAAGCCCCAAGCTCAGCAAACAAAACAAACAAAACCCCCATAAAAATAGGAGAAACTATTCTTAAACCATATATTTGATAAGGAACTTGTGTCTAGACTATGAAGAAATATATCTAAAGATAAAACTTTATTAAAAAGTGGGCAAAAGAACTGAAATAGCCATTTTTCCCCCAAAGAAGCACATGAAAAGACTCAACAGTATTAACTATAGGAAATGCAAATCAAAACAATAAGGTATTATTTTATATTCACTAGGATGGCCTCATCAAGAAGATAGATTATAAGGAGTTTTGGCATAAGACAGTAACAGCTAAAGATTATGATGAATGCAGTAGGGGAAAAGATTAATAGTAGCTAAACTCTAGCCTTTTAAGCAGAATACCTCTGTGTCTGATTTTATTTAAAAATTTTTTTTAATTTTCTCTACCTGGAAATACATAATGCTTGAAGCATTAGATGATTCTTTGCCTAATCTAAATCTCAAAAGAGAAAAAGCATGAGACATGTATGCAGCTCCAGAATTCATGATGCTGTCACCATTTAAAATATTATGATGCAATGTAGTTAATGCTAAAAAGTTATGCTATTTACTTTTGAAAATTAATGATTAGAAAATGCAAACTAATTCTGTTGCTCCTACTGTTACTGATTTGCTTGTGGAGTTGGATTTCCTCAAGGGGACTAAAAAAGTTAACCTTTATTCCTTTTCTGAAAGTAAATTTGACAACTCACTTTAGAGATTTGAAATTAAGTACTGTGAAGAAATTCTGGGTGAGAAGTGAAGTCATAAAGGCCACAGAACTCACACCACCACATCAGTCTAATAGCATATTTGTGTTTGCCTCTTTGTTACCAGTATTGCTAACAAGTGGCTATTAAAATGGCAATGAACTATCATCCAAAGAAAAGAAATGGGCACTGGCCCATTTCTGACTAGAACAATGTCCAAAAAAACCAAAGTTGCTGGGGCATTCATGCCTATAATCCTACCTACTCCGGAGGCTGAGCTCTATAAATAAAGACCTAGCAGGATAGAAAAGTCAGTAAGACTTATCTCCAATTAATCACCAAAAAGCCAGAAACGGAGCCATGGTTCAGGTGTTAGAGCACTATCCTTGAGCACAAAAGCTTACAGGCAGAGCCCAGATCCTGAGTTCAAGCCACAAAACCAGCACCAAAACAAAACAATAAACACTACCACTACCCCCCCTCCCCCAACCCATACAGCCATATGAGCAGATGAGGTAACAGATGTATGGGAAACAGAAACTTTAACTTCTAACTCAATATATGGGGGCCAAAATTCTCACATGAAATTGACACAAACACATCCTTAAATTTGCAATATGTATACTTATGGATTCAAGAAACCAAACTTAACTTCAGTAAGCACTTAAAAATTAATCCAGATATGACAAAATTCAAGAGCCTCTGTATGAGTACATATATTTACTTTTTTTTTTTTTGGGGGTCCGGTCGTGGGGCCTGAACTCGGCCTGCGCACTGTCCCTCAGCTCTTCAGCTCAAGGCTAGCACTATACCACTTGAGCCACAGCGCCACTTTCGGCTTTTTTTCTTTTTGCTTATGTGGTGCTGGGGAATGGAACCCAGGGCCTCATGCATGCAAGGCAAGCGCTCTACCACTGAGCCACCATCCCAGCCCACTTTTTTTTTTCTTTTTGTCGGTCATGGGGCTTGAACTGTGGGCCTGGGTGCTGTCCCTTAGCTCTAACACTTGAGCCACAGCGCCACTGGAGATAAGGAGTCTCACGTACTTTCCTGCCTGGGCTGGCTTTGAACCGGGATCCTCAGATCTCAGCTTCCTGAGAAGCTAGTATTCCAGGCGTGAGCCACCGATGCCCGGTCATATATCTACTTTTAAGTAAATCTTTAAATATTTTCCACCTGCTTCGAGGAGCACACTAGGAGTCAATTTAGAACATGACAGAAACATTCCTAGCTCTATATAATCTAGACAGGAAAAGTACATGAATCAGTGACAGGTCTGACTTGATATTTAAATAGGTTAGGATGGTTGCAAACTTGTAAAATAGTTCTTTTCCGTCTTGCAACAGGTAACATCTGCTCCCTGGGATAAGGGTAGGGTCAGGATTTGGGAAGATTCAAGGTATGTTAACTTGTTTCCTTCGCTCATGACCTTTAACCTAGATGTCTAACTCTTCCAAATGGGGCCACTTCCAGGGGGAAGCAAGGGTCTACCAGGAGCTGACAGCATTGACCTTTGCCCTAGTTTAGCTTGAGAGCAGGCGGGGCGGGAGGGGGGTGGTGGTGCCCGCAGTCCTCAGGAGTGGCCCAATCTCTTTTGCCCCAACTTTTCCACCTGGCTCTGCACGTCCCCACCCGCAGTTCCCTCTCACCCGGACAGGACAGCTTGGCTAGCGACACCGACATGTTCAAAATAACGAGGACTCTCGGCCTGGTACAGGGAAAAGAGACTTATCAGAGGTTCGCCGCGGGCGCTGGTCTCCTATGCAGAGGGGGGCGCCATCCTCGGCCAGGAAGCAGTCGGTCCCTCTCAAGTCTGCCTCTCCGCCGACCGCCCTTGCTTCGCTGCGTTCCCGCCCCTCTCCTGTTCTGCGCCGGCGCCGCTTCCGACCCGTCAACCTGCTAGACTTCCGGGTCACGTACAAAGGCGAAAAGGATGGAGGACTACAAGTCCCAGCGCAGCCTGCGGCTTCGGGCCTCCTCACTGCAGCTTGGGAAGGCGCCGGAGGCTCTACGATGCCCAGAAGCCCCGCACACAGGCGTACTGGAGGTAATAGGAGGCGGGGCGCATCGCACAGCATTTTGGGAGTTGTAGTGTTCTTACTACAGCGTCCCAAGAGCCCCAATAGATGTTTGAGCAGGGGGCGGGGAGCCGCCCAAGGTGACTTGATTGACAGCTGCCTGGCTGTCCGGAAGAATGAAAAGTCTTTGTGTTTCGGGGCGGAGACTCAGGGGGAGAAGGGGCAGGACTTCGGGAGGGAGGGGGCGGAGCCTTTGGCTTTGGGCGCGCGTGGTTGAAAGACAGTTGGTGGCGGTTCGGCCGTCCCAGTCCCTCTCCACGGTCCTAGCCCTTTCCCCATGGCTGACGTAGAGGAGTTTCAGGTTTGCTCGCCGCCTCCGCCGCCTCCCTCTTCTCCCTCGTCTTCGGACGCGTCTTCAGCATCCTCCTCCGGCCTGAGTTTGGGTTGGCGGGCTCCGAGCCGGAACGGCGACGGAGAGGTGGACCCTCTGGAGGAAGTGGAGCTGCAGATCGGAGACGTAAGTGTCGGGCCGGGACCCGGGCGAGGCTGCGGCTCCCGGGCCGGCTCTGCCCGCGGCGATGCCCGCCGCGAGGTGCTGCCTTTCGCGGCGGGGCGGAGGGACGGGCGGCCTCCTTCGGCTTTCTTCTGGTCCTTCTGTTTCCAATCACCGGCGTCAAGTAACCCGAAACCGCGCGCGGTCTTCTGCACCCCCGAGGTGGCTCTCGGCCCTGGTTTCCCTCCTGATGTGCCAGTTGGCCACCTGCCCACAGCCAGCTGGGAATGCTTTCCTTGTGCTGGATCGGCTTGGAGGGTCTAGCCCCGGCCCTGCCGAAGGGGTGCCCTGTTGGTTTCACTTCCTTTGCTGCCCGTCTCTGATTTCTGTCTCTGCTTTCTAGAATGCATATTGAGTGGAGTAAAATCCCAAATTCCCCAAAACTCCACCTGCCACCCGAACCCTCGTCCGACTGGAGGGCTGACACTTGCAGTATTTATGCAAGTGGATTGAAGTTTGTACGGTTTAACCTTCTTGGGAGAACTTTGTGGAATTGACCTTTGTGTGCAGAATTGGGAACTGAACTTCATTAGCTCATATTTGGACACTTGCTTTTTTTTTTTTGAGAGAAAGCAAAATGTTCCTCTGGTTTTTTTTTTTTCCAGAACAAAACCGGTTACAAGTAAATATGTAGAATGAAAGACTGATGTGTTATCTAGGTAGTGCTATTTTATCTCTTAGCCGAAGAACACTGATTAAAAGAGATGTTCCACCAAGAAGTGGAAATTTTCGAATTTGTGTGATTTTGTTGATGCTTGTCAGAACCTAGAGTGTTTTTTTGCTCTACATTTTTGTGATCTAAAATATTTTGGTACCTGCAGTCAAGTTGTTTTGTTGAGCTAATTGAGATTCTAGTGTGTTTTTCAATTAAATACTGACTTACGTTTTACTCATAATGAATATTTTTTCTAGGAGATGTGTTTCCTCAAATTTCAGGCCCAGAGGTAGAGTACAGTGGTAAAGCCTGTTGCTTAAGCATGTGCAAGGCATAGGGTTAGAGACTTTTTTAGGTTCCGTGTGTTGAAAGAAAACCCCTTGGGCCTTAGAGTCAAAGTTTTTAGCTATTTTTAGTCTATCAAAGGAAATAAGAAGTTAAAAAATAAATATCTGGGATTTGGGATATAGCTCAGTTGATAGAGCTTTTACCTACCATATGCACAAGGCCCTGGCTTCAATTCCCACCACCACAAAAAGAACAAAAAAAATTCACCTATTTGACTTTTTTTTTATATATAATTTCAGGCAGCGTTTTCATTAACCAAACTTCTTGAAGCCACATCTGCAGTATCAGCTCAAGTGGAAGAGATTGCCCTTAAATGTACGGAAAATGCACGCTTCCTTAAGACGTGGAGAGACCTCTTGAAAGAAGGCTATGATTCTCTGAAACCTGACAACTAATTATGACTGTATAATTCACCTTCTCATATCGTTTTGCACATGTACTACATATATAGCACAATCTCCAGTATTTCTGTATATTCAAAATGAAATTTTTCTTGGTTTTCTAGACTTTCGTGCAAGTAGACTATTGATGTGATTTTTTTAATGTTGACAAGTATGTTTATCCTTAAATAGTTTCTATTCTTTAAACGTTTTCAGATTCCTTTCTGAAAGATTTTTCTCAGTAGATAATTTTAACAGTGCCATGGTATGACCAGATAATTATTTTGGAAGATGCTGAGAATGCCAGAAGAGTGAAGCTGAGTTTCATGTTACAACTTTCAAAGGACTTGATTAAGTTTGCCAGTGTATATCAGTTCCCTCAGCTAAGTTCTCTGGAACAGAGATAAGTTTTATGACTTCTAGAACTGAGGCACCTGAAACTCACCTGACACTCCCAAAGTTTCTTTGAGTAAAACACTTGGCAAACATATTTAAAAATTACTTTTTCTAGCCGGGCGCTGGTGGCTCACGCCTGTAATCCTAGCTACTCAGGAGGCTGAGATCTGAGGATCACGGTTCAAAGCCAGCCCGGGCAGGAGAGACCATGAGACTCCTATCTCCAATAAACCACCAGAAAACCGGAAGTGGCGCTGTAGCTCAAGTGGTAGAGCGCTCGCCTTGAGAGGGACAGCGCCCAGGCCCAGAGTTCAAGCCCCACGACCGACCAAAAAAAAAAAAAATTACTTTTTCTTCTTTTTTTTTTTTTTAAAGCATGAAGACAAGATTATTTTTCTAAAAAATGTATGAATCTGAAGTTCATTTATGTAAAATCTCCTTATGGGGACTTGAGTTTTTTGTTTCTTGTTTTTTTTTCTCTTCTGTTTTGAAATAGGATCTCACTATGTAGACAAGGCTAACCTCAAACTCCTGGTACTCCTGCCTTAGCCTTCATAAATGCTGGGACTACAGGTATACACACTACCACCCTCAGCATGGTAACTTGCATTTTGATAACGTTTCAGAATAGATGATAAATAAATTTTCCCATTGTGTGATGTTTTTTGGAAAAGGTTTTATTTTAGAAAATGAAAATATGTCTAGAGAAAATGTGTCCTCGGGCTGGGAAGGTGGCTCAGTGGTAGAGTGTTTGCCTTACATGCCTAAGGCCCTGGGTTCGATTCCTCAGCACCGCATAAAAAAAAAGCCGGAAGTGGCGCTGTGGCTCAAGTGGTAGAGCGCTAGCCTGGAGCTGAAGAGCTGAGGTACAGTGCCCAGGCCCAGAGTTCAGGCCCCACGACCGGACCAAAAAACAAACAAACAAACAAAAAAACACAGAAAATGTGTCCTCTTTCCTCCATTGTTTTTTCCTACTAGTCTTGGGACTTAAACTTGGCCTAATTTCAGGCCCTAAACTTTTTTGCTCAAGACTAGTGCTCTACCACTTGAGCTACAACTCTACTTCTTTCTAGCTTTTTGGTGGTTACTGAGAGATAAGGATTTCATGGACTTTCTTGGGCTGACTTTGAATAGAGATGCTCAGATCTCAGCCTCCTGAGTAGCTAGGATTAAAGGTGTGAGCTACCAACCAGTATCCAGTTCCCAATTTATTTTTATGTTTTATGTTGATATTTTTATGTTTGAATTGCCTTATCAAATTAGGGCTTTGTGTTATTCCTTTTAGAACATTCCAAGTTATTTACCTAATAACTTCTGAAGTGACTTTGTTTCTAATGTGTCAAATTTTAGTGATGTAATGTTTTTGTATGATTTGACCATACTGACAATATTTTATTTTAGCTATGTTGTGTCCTCTGTTGCTTTTTCATGGTTTGTATCATCTGTTAACAATGAAGGCAATCTATTTATGAGTTTTGGGTGTCTCTGATGTGGTGTCTTTAAGTCTTTGTAGATCTCTTGATATTTAAAGAACTTTGTTTAAAAACCCCACAGTGGAGCTGCAATAGGGGACAAATGGATGGACAAAAAAAAGCACGAATGGTTTTATTTAGCATGTTAGACCATAATTCTTGATTTTTTTTTATCTAAAAGCCACACATATGGTGTGTTTTCTATACCAAAAAGATGTTTACTTCAGTATAAGAAAAATATTTTTCTTACATTCTCTTGTGTATTCTGAACATTGTGATTTTTAAAAATGCATAAAAATAAATTCTTATAAAAAGCAAAATTTTCATTTCTTTGGGTTTATTATTTTAAAACTTCTTTTATTTTGTACTCATACTCAGGGCCTGGGCATTATCCCTTAGATTTTTTAGTCAGGTCTGGAACTGTACCATTTGAGCCACAGTTCCACTTTTGGACTTTTGGTAGTTGGAGATTAGAGTCTCATAGACTTTCCTGTCTGGGATGGCTTCAAACCTGGTCCTCAGTTCTCAGTCTCCTGAGTAGCTAGGATTACAGGAGTGAGCCACCAATTGTTGCCCCAAGTTATCTTTTTAAAAGAGAAAACCTTGCCCTGTGTCTGGATTAACTTGGTGTTTCTGTTGTACTTCCTATAGAAACTGATAGGAGCTAGACATGTAGAAGGGCTGGAAAGTGAGTGGGTTTGGTAGATAGAAAATCATTAAAAATATTTTAAGAGCCAGGTGCTAATGGCTCACACCTGTAATCGTAGCTGCTCAGAAGGTTGAGATTTTAGGATTGAGATTCAAAGCCTACCCTGGTAGAAAAGTATGAGACTTTTCTTCAGTTTAACCATCAAAAAGCCAGAAGTGTAGGTGTAGTTTAAGTGGTAGTGAGTGAAAAAAATCTCAAGTGTTAGGTTCTGAATTCAAACCCCGGTGCCAGCACAACAAAAAAATTTAACAGTTAAAAGGAGTTTCAGATGGATGTTTTGAAAATTCAACATATTCCTTTTCTCACTGCTGGTCATTGAATCCAGGACTTGGAACTGCTAGATAAGTGATATACAACTTGAGCTATGCTCCAAGCCATTTTCATTTTGTGTTTTTTGAGATAAGGTCTTGCTAATTTTTCTCCAGTTGATCTGGAACTCAGGATCTTCCTGCTTCAGCCTCTTCAGTAGCTGGGATTATAGGCATGTACCATTGTGTCCATCAGTTTTTATTTCTAAGATCCTTAAACAGATGTGTTGTTACAGGTTATTATTTGATTTGTATAGGCCAAGAGAAATGCCAGACAAGGTGAGAATGGCGGTCATGCTTTATTCACAGGCACTCCAGTACATAGACTTGGCAGCAGCAGCATATACCTTAATAGCATCACATTAGCATAGACTCAGAGACAGACTCGTACCACCAGTAGCCTCATTCTATTCACAAGCTCACATTCTGTCCATCAGCCTCCTCTCTCACAATTTTGCCTGGTTATACTCACAACTAGCCACAAGTAGTATTATTTGCCCAAGTATGGCTTTGAGGCTTCCTAAGGTAGAGATTTGTACATGAACACACTAAACCAGATAAGTCACAGTACTTGGGAAGTATTCATTCAAACACTTCTGGAAGTTAGGGTGAGGAAACCTAATTAACTTTATTTACCCTTCGTGGGTTAGGATATTTGTGTGTGTGTGTGTGTGTGTGTGTGTGTGTGTGTGTGTGTGTGTGTGGACTTCCTGCCAGGGTTAGCTTTGAACAATAATCCTCAAATCTCAGCTTCCTCAGTAGCTAGGATTACAGGGGTGAGTCAACAACACCCAGCATGGTCATGATTTTTTTTTGGGGGGGGGTAGGATTTTTTTTTTTGGTCCTAGGGCTTGAACTCTTGGGTCTAGGTGCTGTCTCTCAGCTCTTTAGCTCAAGGCTAGCACTCTACCACTTGAGCCACAGTGCCACTTCTGGCTTTTTTTTCTGCTTTTGTGGTGCTGAGGAATCGAACCCAGGGCCTCAAGCATGCAAGGCAAGCGCTCTACCACTGAGCCACCTTCCCAGCCCTAGGATTTGTTTTTGTACTGATTCCATGTTTATTGTCTTTTTTAGATATTCTTTTTAGAAAACCTTTTTTATTCTATTATTTTGTATTAGTAATATGACTTCTAAACTGGAAAAGGATGGAAGAGACCGATCAAGATGCACTGGACACATTAAAATTAAAATGTACATAGTTGGGCTGGGAAGGTGGCTCAGTGGCAGAGTGCTTGCCTTGCATGCATGAGGTCCTGGGTTCAATTCCTCAGCACCACATAAGCAGAAAAAGCTGGAAGTGGTGCTGTGGCTCAAGTGGTAGAGCGCTAGCCTTGAGCTGAAGAGCTGAGGGACAGCGCCTAGGTCCAGAGTTCAGGTCCCACGTCCAGTAAAAAAAAAAATAAATAAATAAATAAAATGTACATAGTTACATTATTGAATGTTATTTGAAGAGCCAACCTAAAAGGTGGTTTTACTGGGCCTGTGAATTAACTAAAAGCCTGACAGTCAGTATTCCCCTCCTCCCAACTTGGCATCTGTGCTCTTTGTATGAGTCATTCATTTCTGCACAACCTTCACAACCATCTTGGGCTCCAGAAAAAATCAAGAGTCACCATTAAGCATCTTGCAGCCAAAGGCAAACTGCCTCTCAGACAAGCAATGTCATCTTCTTACGGTCTTGAAGAGAACAGTCAAAAGTTATAGGCTATCCCTCAGGTCTCCAGAGTCAAGGACTAGCTAATAATCAACCAGGCTATATCTATGACTTAGAATTGTGCATAGTTTTCTCACCCCTACCTCCTAATTCTCCCTATTATACATGAAGGTGGTGTCTGTACCCTTGGAGACAACTGAAGATGTACTCAAGTACTTTATTTCTCACGGCTGCCATGTAATCACTTTTCTTTATTATTTCTCTATTTGGCAGGTGAATGGCTGTGATACCATCTAAGCAATGGTTTTCTTTACTCATTAAAGAATTAAAAGGAAACTTTAAAAGTAAACAGTTTATTTGAAAGTGAAAGGAAAGCTGTGGAAGAAACACTGGTGGTTCATACCTGTAATTCTAGCTACTCAGGAGGCTGAGATTTGAGGATCACAGCTCCAAGCCAGCCCAGGAAGAAAGTCTGTGAGACTTTTTTTTTTTCCCTCAGTCAGTTGTGGGACTTGAACTCAGGGCTTGGGCACTGTCCTGAGTTCTTTTGCTCAGGGCTAGTGCTCTATCACTTCGAGTCATAGCTCTACTTCCAGAATTTGAGGGATTAATTTGAGATAAGAGTCTCAAGGGGGGGGGCCGGGAGTGGGTGGGTGGTCTGGGGGAGGCTGGGAAGGGATGTGAAGGGTAAACAAGGGAGGAGGCTGCAATGCTTGATAAGAAATGTACTCATTATCTTGCCCATGTAATTGTAACCCCTCTGTACAATATGTTCACAAAAAATAAAAATTAAAAAAAAAAAGAGTCTCACGGGTACTTTTCTGACCAGGCTGGCTTTGAACAATGATCCTTAGATCTCACCCTCCCAAGTAGCTAGGATTACAGATGTAAGCCACAGGTACCTGGCTTTGTGTGACTCTTTTTTCCAATTAAACACTTGTGCACTGTTGCTCAAATGGTAGAC